ACACCACAACACACCACACACTCCACTCACACACCCAACACTCACCACACACTAACCAAACACCCACAACCACACCCAAACACCACACACACACAACAACCCCACAACACAACCACACACACCCCACAACACACCCCAACACCACCACACACACCACAACAACCCCAACAACCCAACACACCCACAAACACCATCACACACACAACAAACCAACCCACACCACACACACCCACACACAACCACACACACACCACACCAACCACATCACACACCACTCACCCAACACACACCACACACACACCACACTACAACCACACAAACCTCAACTCACCACAAAACACCACACAACACACACACACACCCACACACAACCCCCCCAACCCCACCCCCCAACAACCCACACCACCCACCCACCCCCCACAAAACCCAACACACCCACACCCAAAACACACCACCCCACCAACAACAAACCACCACCACAACCAAACCACCAACCCCCCAAACCACACCCACAAAACCCCCCACACCCCCCCAACCCCCCCCCCACCCACCCCCCCCCACTCAACAACCCCCACCCCCCCCCCACAACAACCAACCAACAACCACCCCACCCCCAAACCCCACCCCCCCCCCCCAACCCTACCACAACCCCCCCACCACAACACCACCCTTACCCACAACAACACCAACCATCTTATACCCCCCCTACCAAAAACCTCCTATCCCATCAAAACACCAACCACATATAAAAACTCCCCCACTTCATCTTATAACACCCAACCATCTACATCCTCCTTCCAAATTATACTCACCTTCCCCCCCCCCCAACTTCAACACCCCCAACCCACAACCCACACCACCAACAAAAACACCAACCCACAAAACCACCAACAAAACACACCAACCATCACAACACCCCCCAACCAATACACAAACCAAAACCACAACAACACCAACACAAAAAACCACTAACAACACACCAACCAAACCAAACCACACTCCACCACACCAACACACAACCACTACCCACACACCACCACCAACAACAAAACCACACCCCCCACCTCCCCCCACCCCCCCCACACCACCCACCACCCCCCCCCCCCCCCCCCCCCCACCAACCAACCCCCCCCAACCCCCCAAACACCCCTACCACCCCCCCACCCAACCCCCACCCCCCCCCCACCCACCCCCCCCCACCCCACCCACACACCCCCCCCCCCAACCAACCACCCACAAATACAAAACACACCCACCAAAACACAACACCCCCACCCACCCCCCCCCAAACACAAAAACTACACCACACCCACACCCACCCCCACAACCCACCACACCCACCCCCCCCCCCCCCCACCAAACCCCAACACCCCAAACCACCCAACACCCAAACTCACCCCCAACACAAACAAAACCCCAAAACCAACACACACACAAACACCCACACCCACAACCAACCCAAACCAAAAACAACAACCCACAATAACCACCCCCCCCCCAAACCAAAAAATAATACCCCCATTACCCCAACAAACAAAACAACACCCAACAAAAAAACCCACCACCAACAACACCACCAAACCAACAACCCACCCCCCCCCCCACCCACACCCCAACCCCCCCCCCCCCCCCCAAAACCCCCCCAACCCCACAAACACCCACCCCCACCCCCACCCCCAAACCCCCACCCCCCACAACACACACCACCACCCCCCCCCACCCCCCCCCACACCCCCCACCCCACCACCCCCAAACACCCAACCCCCCCCCCCCCCCCCCCCCCCCCCCACCAACCCCCCCCACCACCCACCCACACAACAACCCCCCCAACACCACCCCCCCCCCCCCCCCCCCCCCCCCCACCCACCCCCCCCCCCCCCACCCCAAACCCAAAAAATCAACACCCACACACACCCCCACTCCAACCCACAACCCCCCCACCCAACCCACATACAACCCACCCCAACCACCCCACCCCCCAACCCACCCCCCCCACCCCCCCCCCCCCCCCCCCACCCACCCCCCCCACAAACCCCACACACAACCCACCCACCAACCCCACCCCCCCCCCCCCCCCCCCCCCCCACCCAAAAAAACCACACCCCACACAAAACCCCCCCCCCCACACCCCCACCACCACCCACACAACCCCACACCCCACCACCCCCCCACCACCACACCCCCCACCCCCCACCCACACACCCCCCAAACCCCCCACACCCCACCCCACCCAAACCCACCCCCAACAAACACCCACCACCACCCCAACCCAACCAACACACCCCACCACAACACCACCCCCAAACCAAACCCCCCCCCCACCACCACCACCCCCCCCAACAACCCCACACCCCCACCCCCCCACCCCACCACACCAACCACCCCCCCCCACAAACCCCCCCCCCCCCCCCCACACCACCAAACACAACACACAACCCACCCCCAACCACCCACACCCACAAACAAAAAAACAACACAACCAAACACCCACAACCACACCACCCAACCCCCCCCCCCCACCAAAACACACTAACCCCCCCCAACAACCCCAACCACCCACCCACACCCCACCCCAACATACAAACCCCAACAAAAACAAACCCCCAACCCACCCCAACAACCAAACCACACACACACACCCAAACCCCCACCCCCACCAAACCAACACACCCCCAATCACCACCCACACCCCCACAACCACCCCCACACCACCCCCAACCCCAACACCCCAAACCCAAAACCCACCCACCCCCCCCCCCACCAACACCACCACAAAAACAAACAAAAACCCAACCACCCCAAACACCACCCCCCCCCCCCCCACCCCACCACCACACCCACACAACCCCCCACCAAACCCCCCCCACCCCCCCCCCCCCCACACACACACAACACACCCCCCCCCCACCCCCCACCCCCCCCCCCACCAACACCCACACCACCCCCCCCACCCCAACAAACCCCAAAAAAAAAAAAAAAAAAAAACCACCCCCCCACCAAACCCCCCCCCCCCCCAACACCACCACCCACACCACACCACAAACCACCCCCAACACCCCACACCCCCCACACAACAAACACACCACCCAACCCCCCACACAACCACCCCCCAAACACCCAACACAAAACCCCCCCCACCACCCACCCCCCACACCACACCCCCCCCCCACAACCCCCACCCACCCCCCACAAACACCCCCCCCCCCCCCATCAACCTACCAAATCCTTACACCACCCCCCCCCCCCCCCCCCACCCAATTCCCCATCCCCCCCCCTACATCAACTAAAATCCCCTCCCCCCCTACACACACCCCCCCCCCCCCCCACCCAAACAACCAAACTAACACTTATACCCATTTCCAAATTCCTCCCAACAACACATCACCCCTACCCCAACCACCAATAAATCTCATCCCTAAATTTTCCCTTCATTTAAATTAACTCAACTCCCTATAATTCACCACCCCCACCCCCCCCCAAACCACCCCAATAATCCCCCCCTCTACCCCAAACTCCTACACCCTCCAATATCCAAAAAAATCCCCCCCACTTCCCCAAACCCCAAAACCCCCCCCCCCCCTCCCCAATTTCCCCCATCCCAAAATAAACCCAAATATCCATAAACCCCCCAACCTCCAACCCCCCCCTCCCCACACCCCCCACACCATATAAACCTCATCCAAACAACCCCCCATTATACCAAAACAAACACCCACCCCCAACAAACTTCCCCCCCAATTACCACCCCCCCCCCCTCAACCCACCATCCAACATTCATCTAAATATCCCCATACCCAACCCAAAATTCCACCCCACACATCCCCCACCCCAAAACAAAACAAATAACCCCCCTTAAAACCCAAACACCCCCCAAACCAACCCCACCCTCATATACCCAAACTAAACAACCCCCTCCCCCCCCCCCCCCCCCCCCCACCCCAACACCACACCACACCTCAAAATAACCCCCCCCTCCCATATTTCCCATAACCCATTTTCTCCACCAACCTACCCTATCCATCCCCCACACCCACACACACACCAACCTAAAAAACAACATAACCAAAACAACTCCACCCCACCCCACCCTAACCACCCATAACCACCCCAATCATACAATCAACCCACACACCACCCACAAACCACAAACAACAAAACCACCCACACCCCCACACACACCCCAAAACCCAACCCACAACAAAAAACCCCCCCCCCCCCCCCCCCCCCCCCCCCCCCCCCCCCCCCCCCCCCCCCCCACCACCCCCAACACCCCACACCACCAACACCACACACACAACACCCACAACCCACCCCCACCCAAACCCCCCCCCCAACACCCACCACCCCCCACCACCCACCCCCAACCACCCCACCAACACCCCAAACACCCCCCCACCCCCCCCACCCACCCCCCCAACCCACAAACACCCCCCCCACCCACCCACACCCCCACACCACCCCCCCCCCAACCCACACCACCCCAACCCCCCCCCCAAACCCCCCACTCACCACACCCCCCCCCAAAACACAACCCCCACCCCCACACCACCCCCAAACCACCAACACCCCCCCCCACCAACCCCACAACCCACCCCCCCCACCCCCACACACCCCCCAACCAACCCACCCCCACCCCCACCCCACACCCAAACACAAACCCACCACCCCCAAAACCACACACAAACCACACCCCAACACCAAACCCCACCCCCATATCCCCCAAAATTATAAAACAAACCCCACCAACCACACACATACACACCAAACTCTCACACCCAACACCCCCCCACAACCCACCCCCCAACCCACCACCAACCACAACAACACCCCCACACAACACACCATTACCAACAACAACCCCCACCACACCCCCACACCCCCAACCCCCCAAACCCCAACCACCCCCAAAAACCCCACCCCCCCCCCACCCCCACCACACCACCCCCCCACCACCCCCCCCCCCCCCCCCCAACCCCCCCCCCACACCAACCCCACCCACACTAACACCAACCCCCACCCACAAAACCCACCACAAACCCACCACCAAACCCCACACCAAACCCACCCCACCAACCACACCAACCCCACCACCAAACAACCACCAAACCCCACCACAAACCCACCACAAACCCCACACCAACCCCCCCCCACCACCAACCCCCCACACCAAACCCACCACCAACCCCCACACAAAACCCACCACCAACCCCACCACAAAACCACACCAAACCCACCACAACCCACCACCAAACCCCACCACACAACACCACCAACCCACAACCACCCCCACACCCCACACCAACCCACACCCCCACCACCACCCCCCCACCCCCACCCCACACCACACCCACCCACCACAACCCCCCCCCCCACCAACCCAAACCCACACCCACACAACACAACACCCCCAAAACACACCCCCCACAACCCAACAACCACCCACACAAACCCAACCCCCCACACACCACACAACAAAACAACCACAACCAAAACCCACCACACACAACCCAACCCAAACCACCACAACACACCCCCCAACCACCCCAACCCCCAACCCCCCCAACCCCCCCCCAACCACAACCCCCAACCCCACAACCCCCAACCCCCCAACCCACACCACAAACCCCACCAAACCCCCCCCCCCAACCCCCACAACCCCAACCCCCCAACCCCCCCCCAACCACCCAACCCACCCCAACCCCCCAACCCCAAACCCCCCACCCACAACCCCCCCAAAAACCCCCCCAAACCCCTACCCCCCACCCAATACCCACACCCCCAAACACCCACCCCCAAACCCCCAACCCCCAACCCCAAACCCCAAACCCCCCCCCCAAACCCCACAAACACCACCAAACCCCCACCCCCCCCCTAACCCAAAACCCCACCCACCACCCCCACCCACCCCCCCCCCCCAACACACCCACAAACCCACCCAACCACACCACCCCATCCACCAAACAACACCAAAACCCACCCCCCACCCCCCCCCCCCACCACCCACCCACACACCCACCACAACAACACCATCCAACAATCCAACAAACCAACAACACACCAAACACCCACACCAACACCACAACACAACCCAACCACCCCAACAACCCACCACCCACAACACACCCCCAAACCCAAAAACACTACCAAAAAACAACAAAATACACACCCAACTACCTCCACCCCCATACATCACCCAACCCTACACCCAAAAACCCCCACTCCAACCCCCACCAAAAACCCACACCACACACACCACCCAAAAAAAAACAAACCACAAACACACCCCACCCACACCCCCAAACCACCCCACAACCACCCCACCCCCCCACCACCACCCCCCCACCCCCCCCCCACCCCCACCACCCACCCCCACACCCCAAAAATCCCCCCCCACCCACAAACACACACCCAAACCAACACACACCCCCCACCCCCAAACCCCAACCACCCCCCCCCCCCCCCACCCCCACCCCCCCCCCAACCAACCCACCACAACCCACCACCCCCCCACCCACAACACCCCCCCATCCCCCACCCCCCCACACCACCCCACCAACCCAACCATAAAACAAAAATAAAACAAACCCCAACAACAACCCCAACAAACAAACAACACACACAACCCCCCAACCACAACAACCCACAACACCCAACCACCACACCCACACACCAAAAAACCCCACCCACACCAAACACCCCCCCCCCACACTCCCCCACCACACCACTAAACAAACCCACCCACACACACAAACCCCCCACCAAAACCCCACCCACATAAAAATAACCAACCACCCTCCCTCCACCAACCCAAAACCAAAACAAACACCCCACAAACAACACACATCCCCCCACAACACCCACCCCCCCCCCCCCCAAAACCCACAAAACCCCCCCCACCCCACCCACCCCACCTCCCCCCCACCACCCCCCAAACCCAACAACAAAACCACAACAACCCCCACCACACCACCCCCCACAAACCAATCCACCCCAACACTCCCCAAACACCCCCACACCAAACCACCAACCCCCAAAAAAACATACCAAACCCCAAACAACCCCAACAACCCACCAACCCCCACCCCCCACCACACACACACCAACCTCCCACCACAACCAAACCCCCCAAACACAAAAACAACAACACACAACCACCCACCCCCCCCACCCCCCCCAAAAACCCAACCAACAAACAACACCCCCCAACCACATACACAACAATAATCCCCCAACCAAACCCAACCAAACCAACCCCCAACCCCAACCCCCCACCCCACCACCCCACCACCCCCAACACCCACCAACCACCCCCACACCCCCCCCCAAACACCCCCACACCACACCCCCCCACCAAACCACCACACCCACCCACCCAACCAACCAACCCCCAACCCCCAACACCACAACCACCACCCCACCACCAAACAACCCCCCCAATACCCACCCCCACTACCCCCAACCCCCCAAACTCCCCCCCCATAACACTATACCCACCTCAATAACTCCACACACCCATATCCCCCCCACCCCCCAAAACCCACAAAACCCTAACCCCCACCCACATAATACACCATAAACTATCCCCCAAAACCAAAAACCACCTTTCCTCCTCCACCCACAACCACACCCCCCCCACATCCAATCTAATACTAACCCACCAACCCCAATAACCACCCCCCCAATACCCCCAAACATCAACCAAACCATCCACAATAAAATCTAACATTTACTCCAACAATCCCTATCAATCAAACTCCAATACACCTAAACACACACACTCCCTCCCCTACCCCCACACCCCCACCATTACCAAACACAACCCCCCCCAAACAAACTCCAACATCACTCTCATCACCCAATCAAACATCCCCCCCCCCCCCACCCCAAAACAATAATACACTCATCATCCCCCCACCCCCACCCCCCCCCTCCACCCCAAAATTCCCACCCCCTTCCATCCCCCCCTAACCCTCTCAACAACAATCCATCTCCACCCCCCCCCCAATACATCAATATAATCAATCCACAAACAACCCCCCCCCCACCCCACCCACAAAACCCCACAATCACCACATATTACCTAAACACCAAAAAAAAAACACCCCCCCCACCAACCTCCAAAACCCAAACCCAAAAAACATCAACACCCACACACAACCCAACAAACTACCATACCCCCCACCAACCCCCACACCCCCCCCCCCCAACACACCCCACCAACACCCCAACACAAACCACCCACAACCAACAACACCCCTCACCACCAAACCAACAAAACCCCCACAACCCCCACCAAACCACCACACCACCCTTACACAACTACCAAACACAATCACCAACCCAACACCCCTCAAAAACCACACACCCCCACCCACCCCCCCCAAACCCCACCACAAACCCACAAACCCCCCCACCCACCACCACACACCAACCACAACACAACAACACCCAACCTAAACCCCCCCAACCCCCCACCCCAAAAACCACCCCCCCAAAACCCACCCCACCAACCACCACCACAAACAAACACCCACACCACCCACCCCCCCCCCAACCAACCCCCACCCACCCCACCCCACCCCACCCCCCCACCCCACACCCACAACAACCCCACCCCCCAACCACCCCACACCCCCAACCCCCCCCCCCCCACCCCCCACACCACAAAACCCCCAACACAACCCCCCACCCAAAACACCAACCCCCAAACAAACCACCAACAACCACACCAACCCACACCCACCACCCCCCCAACACCAACCCCACACACCCCCCCCCACCAACCCCCACCCCCAACACACCACCCACAACCCAACACCCAAACAAACCACACCCCCACCCCCCAACTAACCCCCACCAACCCACAACACCCAACCCCCCCCCCACCACCCCCCAATCACAACCCCACACCCCAACCCTAATCCCCCCCCAACAAAATCACCCACAACTCCAACCCCAAAAAATAACACCAAACCCCCCCCCAACCCACCACACCCCCCACCAACCACACCACCAACCACCCCAAACCCACACAACACCAACAAAAAACCACCCACCCCAACCCCCACAAACCCATACCAAACCACACCCCCACAAACAAAAACAAAAACCAACACACCCCACCCCACTCCCCCCACCACCCCCCAACTACAAACCCCCACCCCACCCCCCCCACCCCCCAACCCACCCCCCCCCCACCACCCCCCCCCCCACACCCCCACACCCACCCAACCACCCACCACACCCCCCCAACCCACCACCCCCAACCCCCCCCACCACATCACTCCAAAACCCCAAACACCCCAATCCCAACCCCCCCCCCCCCCCACAACACAAAAACACCACACAAACCCAAAACAAACAATCCATATATATATCAATTAAAACACAAACACCCACAAAAACACACAAACACAAAAAACCCAACCACCCACCCCCCCCCCACAACCCCCTCACTCCCCCCCCCCCAAACCCCCCCACAAACCCAACCCCCCCCCACCCCCCCCCCCCCACACCCCCCCAACCCCAAACATACACCCCCCACAAACCCCCCAACCCACACAACCCCCCACCCCACACACCACCCACCCCAACCCCCCCACACCCCACCCCCCCAACAAACACCTCCCCCAACCCCCACCCCCCACAACCCCACCCCACACCATCACAAAACCCCAAAACACAACCCCTACACCACCCACCACACACCACCCAAAAACCACCAACCCAAACCCAAAACCAATAACAAAACCCAACACCCCCCCCCCCAACCCACACCCCCACCCCAAACACCCCCCCACAACCCACCCCACCCCCCCACTACACCCACAAAAACACACTCCACACCTACCCCCACACACACCTACACACCACACACACCAACCCCCACACACACCAACTCACATCACTTCACTCCCACTCACATCCCCCTCTCTCTCTCCTCTTTCTCTCCCCTCTCTCATCCCCCCCCTCATCACATCCCACACACACCACACACACCTCACTCACCCCCTCTCACCTTCCCACAACACAACCCACACACACCCCCACAAACTTCTACTCCCTCTCTTCCACACTCACCTCACACACTCCTCATCTACCACACAAACCTACACACACCTCTCTCTCTTCCCCCCTCTCAACATCCCTCTCCCTCTCCCCTCTCTCTCAATCTCTATACCCACACTCTACACCACACACTCCACACACACACCCCCACCACACACACCAACTAACCACACATCACCCCCCCTCACTCTCACCCCTCACACATCCCCACTCACACACCACTACACTCCCCCTCACACACCCACTCACTCACCACACACCACCAACACCAAACCAAACCCCCCCAACCCCAATTCCCACATATCCCATCATCCAATCCAACCACCCCTCATCCTATAATACCCCTCTCACTAAAAAACATACCCCTATCAACTCCTCTTCCTATAACCTCCCTCCTATTACCCCTTACATCAACCCAACCCATCACCAACCTACCCCCCCAATCCCCCTACCAATCCACACCAACAATACTATACCCACACTTCCTCCCCTATACACCTCCAACCCCCCTAATCTATCAACCCCCATCCCTCCCATCCCACCCCCTCCCCATTCCATCCCCCCCCCCAACCCCCCCCCCCCCCTTCACCCTTCATCTTCACCCCCCCCTCCTCTTATATTCCCCCCTTCCATCTTCATAAATCCCCTTCCTCTTCAATACTCCCCCCCTTCCATATTCATACTCCCCTTCCATCTTCCATACTCACCCCCTTCAATCTTTTTACTCCTTCATCTTATACTCCCCTTCATATCTTCCAATAACTCCTTCCATCTTCCTACTCACCTTTCATCTTCCATACACACCCTTCCATCTTCATACTCCCCTTCATTTATACTCCCTTCCCATCTTATACTCTCTTCATCTTATACTCCATCCATCTCCCTCCTCACCACTTAATCTTATAATCCCTTCATCTACCCTACTCCTACAACTTATATCCCCTATCATCTTACATACTCCCCCCTTCCATCTTCCATACTCCTTATCTCATACTCACCTTCCATCTTACCCCTCCCCATCGCATACTCCTTCATCTTATAAAAAACCCACACCAACAACCCCACACAAAAAAACACACCCCCCCCCCCCCCCAACAACCACCCCACCCCCCCCCCCACACCCCCCCAACACCCCCCACCACCCCCAAAACCCAAACCCCCCCACCACACCCCCCACACCCCCCCAACCCCCCCCCCCCCCCACAACCCCCCCCCCACCACCCCCACAAAAACAAACAAACCACAACCACCAAAACACAATCACCCACACCCCCCCAAAACAAAAAAACCATCCAACATTACCAACTCCACCCCCCACACCCCTACCCCCCACCAAACCCCACAACACAACCCCACACTAAACCCCCCAAACTACCCCCAACTACAAAAAATCCCTAACAAAACACCCCACCATATACAACACCAACCCAACAAAACCCATCATTCTATCCCCTCATCTACTCCACATCTAAAAAAAAACCCCAACAATAATTATTTCCACCCTTTCCCCCCCAAAATTCAATAACTACACACCCCACCAAAAATAACCCCCCCCCCCAACAAACATACCTAATCTCACAAAAAACCCCCAAACAACACCACCCACCACCCACACCATACCCCCCCCCCCCCCCCACCCCCCCCCCCCCAACCCACACCAACACCCACCCCACCCCCCCAACCCACAACCCCCACCCCACCACACAACCCCCCACCCCCACCCCCCCACCCACACCCCACCCACCACCCCCAAACAACCCACCCCCACCCCACCCCCCCCCCCCCCCAACCCAAAACCCCCCCCCCCCACACCACACCCCAAACACACACACCCCCCAAAACCACCCCCCCCCCCCCCCCCCCCCCCCCCCCCCACCCCCCCCCCCCCCAAAAAAAAAACAACACCAACTCCACCCCAACCCCCCCAACCCCCACCCCACCCCACACCAACAACCCAACCACCCCCACCCCCAACCCCCCCCCCACCCCCCCCCCCCCCCCCCACCCACCCCCCCCACAAACCCCACAAAACCCACCCCCCACCAACCCCCACCCCCCCCCCCCCCCCCCCCCAACCCCAAAAAACACCCCAACCAACCCCCCCACACACCCCCACCACCACCACACAAACCCCCACCACCCCACCACCCCCCAACACCACACCCCCACCACCAACACCCCACCACCCCCACACCCACCCTCCCAAACCCACCCCCCCAAACACACCCACCACCAACCCCCAAAAACACACCCCACCACAACACCACCCCAAACCCAACCCCCCACCCCCCCCCCACACCCCCCCCCCCTCCCAACCCACACCAACCCACCCCCACCCACCAACACCCCACCAACCCCCCCCCCCAAAACCCCCCCCCCCCCCCCAAACACCACCCAACCACACCACAACCACCCCCAACCACCCACACCCCCCAAACACAAAACAAACACACAAAAACCACAAACCACCAACCCCCCCCCACCCACCCCACCAACAACCCCACCCCCCCCAACCCCCCACCAACCCCCCCCCACCCAACACACCAAACACCCACAACCCCCCCCCCCACCCCCCAACCCCCACACCCCAAACCCCCACCCCACCCCAACACCCCAACACACACAAC